CATCTGAATTTGATTTTGAACGGCCATCGTAAAATTCATCACCCTCATTAGTCCGTCAAACTCTGATGTTAATTCTTTGAATTCGCCTTCGATGGATTTCGCAACCAAAAATTTTCTCAGCCCTTTAATCTGTGATACTTCGGCGATAAAATCTTTGATCCTTGAAATTATCGAAACAAGTTTTTGAAAATTCTTATAATATTCTTTGGACCTAAACATGTCTTCGTTCTCGAATCTTCGAATTTTTAAATTGTTTACTGCTGTTTCCGCTGAGGTCGCGCGTGAAAGCAAAGAGCCACATATCCGTTTGTTGTGTTCTGCCGTCTGGTACAGCTGAATGATTTCATTAACGATGTTGGATATTTCCGACATCAAGGGAACGAATGGTGTGATCGTATCCGCTACTACTGCCGCCGATTTTGAAAATTTTTGGGCAATCGATAAAACACCCAGCGTTGTACTCATTGCATGTCCGGCAATTTCTGTCGTGGATTCCATTTTTCTTTTTAATTCACTGTATACACAGTAGGTCAAGGGCAAACGAATGCTAATCAAACCTTGATCGGCATTTAACAAATTAAATAAACAAAGATGGTATGACAGATTTGTATCACGGAAAAATCGAATGCGTCTCCGAAATCAAACTACCTAAAAAAAGGATTAAAAACGTCGTACGGATATATAATTGTTTTTAAAGTGTCTAAACTAAATGCTTTGTCAAAGCGCAATAGGCGTGAACGTAATAAGCGATGCAGTACTCGAAAAGATGGTGGCTTAAAAAAGAATTTATTTATTTATTTATTATTTTTTAACTAATGACGGCTTCTCTCGATAGTTTTCGTTATTAACCTATTTCAAAATGAAATTAATTACAAGTGAAAAATCATTAATATTAACTTGAAATACTGTATATTTGTTCGTGTTTATTTATTTTGTAAATCGATATTCGATTATTTAATTTTATCAATAAATATAAATTAATGTTATGATCTCGATGGATTAAAAATGTTTAAACGTGGTGGGACGCGAATGGTACCAGAAATTTCTTGCTCAAATATTTAACGGAGGGTCAGATCTTAGCCTGACTTTGGGACTTGAACCTATACTGTATAGGATACGATATGTATAGTAAAGACTAACCTTATTTATTTATTCGTATTGGATTCGATTTCAAGGGTAGTTATTGAGGTACCGTATTAATTTTAAAAATTCACTCCTTTTTCTTACATTTCTTACATTTAAGATAAAAAACATATTGCGATATGGGTTATAAAAAAATCCCACATTTTGAAAATGCTATGAATATCGAGAGATGACATTTTCAAAAGATTACATTTTCATTATGGCATTATGGATTATGCACCAATGGGTTCTTTGCCTAACAATCTTTATTCGATTAATGGTAAAAAAAATGGGTTAAATTCAAATAATTTATTCTCGAAATATTACTCGGAGATTTACATAGTGGTAATATACTACTACAGTATACGACTTATCTAGTACATTTATTTATTACAGATTTAGGTCTTTCATTGTCGCCTGATACAGAACCTGAAGGAGTCTATGCAATTTTATAATACATAGTACCTGAAATTCTTTGTGGAAAGTCATTCAATTTTTACTTCAAATACTAGCGACCAAATATGCGGATCTTACGAACAGTTTTGGAACGGAAATCCTGAAGATCGTCCACTTGCCAAAGAAATTTTCGAAAATGAGAAAATGACATAAATATAATATTTATTTTTGTATTTTGTATTCTTAAAGATTAATGAATGATGTCAAAATGCTAGAAGTAAAAAAAAAAAATTTTTAAAATCAATAATATATTAATTTTGTCAAGTATAGGAAGTTTGATAGGAAGTTCGACTTTGATTTGAGAGGAAATTTCAGTTGGTTTGAGTAGTAAGTTAAAAAGAAAGACATTGATGTGTTTTTAAAGTTCATTTCTGATAGTGGTGTATTCAAGGGTACAGGTTGGTTTTTTAATGAAATAAATAATTAAGTAAGTAAGTTCGAAGGCTGGCTAGTTTATAATAGGAAATATTTTTTATTTCAATAGTTCTTAGGTAAATGACTAATAGAATAATACAAATTATAACTTAAAAAATTTTTTTTTTTTTGGTTTCAAAGTTAATAAAGTATAATTTGTTTTCATTTTTTTATTTATTTTGGAAATTCTTTTTTAATTTTGATAAATTCTTTTTAATAAGTTGGTATTAGGTTTTCTTTTTGAATAAAAGAGCTAAAAAAGATATAATCTTTAAAGATAATTTTATTTATAAATACTTATATGTGTCTTGTTTAGAGCTAAATGAGATTGTTGACTAGTTTTTCAATATCTGTTTTGAATTTTTTATATAATTTGATATCTTGGATTTCCTATAATTCTTTTTAAACTTGTTGTTTAAAAAAGAATAACCAGGCAAAAGAAATAGTTTTAGTTTGGATTAAGTTTTGAAAAGTTTATCCAAATCAATAATATTATCAATTATCAATAGATTAAATTGGTTTGTAAATTGGATTTCACTGATTTTTATATTGAGATTAAATATTGTCATAATTATTAAAAAAGAAGATTGAATAATATTTGCTTAATTGATTTGTTTGAAATTAATAGAATATAAATTTGATAATTTTATTGATATTTTAGTTGTTGTTTTATTTTCAAAAAAATTGGCAAATCAAAATGTAATTAATATAGTAAAAAATTTAATTGCATAAGATATTGTTTAACTTGATTAATGATTTATTATTTTCAAAAGGAAACTGTAAAATATTTTTATGGTTTTTTTTATAAAAGAGAAATAATTTCTAAAAATATTTATAAAAATATTAGTTAAATTGTACTTTTTTATAAAGTTAAAAAATTATTATTTTTTGGATTTTAAATTATAATTTTAATTATAAAGATTTTATTTTCATTTTTTTTGTAAAGGTTTCTTTAAAATTTTATGATTTTGATATTATGGGCAACACTAGTATTAAAAATTTCTTCTATATTTTTTTTGATAACAAAAATTTTTTTGAAATAATTAATAAAGTTAAAAATAATAATAATTTTGAAATAAATTGTTTTGTGAATTGTATTTGTTTTTAGATAAAAAATAATTTGTAATTTATAGTTTCAATTATTATAGATAGCTGTATAAAGAAATTGTTTTTTGTTTATTAAAATTTTGTAAGCTATATAATAAAATATGATTTGTTTTATAAAAATATATTGGAAGCAATTGAAAAGAAAATAAAAATTTGTTTAAAGATTATTATTATAAAAAATTTTTTTGTCAAAAAAATAATTTACAGAAAAAAGTTTTTTTAAGATAATAATATATTTAAAAATTGTAATTTTAATTATTATATATAATTTTAACTATTGTACTTCTCAAAATAAAATTTATATTATTGTAATAAGAATAATTATTATATATATAATATAATTGAATTCAAATATAATATTTTATATTTAAAAAAGTTATAAATAAGATATTATTTATTATTAATAAAGAAAAACTTTATTAAATTAGAAAAAAACCAAACAGCTCTATTATTTCTCAAAGAAAAAAAATCTTTCTTTATATAAATAATTTTTTCTAGATAAAAAAATAAAGTAGAAATACAAATTAAAATAATATATATAGACCTGTAGGTCTATAGTACAGTGATTAGTGCTTCGCAAGTCAGATCACAAGATATCAGTTCAATCCCATGTAAAGGTAATTAAATAGATTAATATGATATCTGGCACCATACATGTGGTCGTATTACTATAAAAGGAAATTTGATCGACAATACGATTTCGAATTAAATACGAATTCCAATTATTTACTATATATTACTTAGTAATTCTACCATAATATGGTTTTTGAAAAATGGT